GGCTTCCGGTAATTGCTCCTTGGAAAGCCCCAGCTGTTCCACCACTTCGGCATCAATAAAGCTCCCATCGGCACCTGAATCGACAAAAGCGTTAATCGCTAAGCTCTGATTCCTGTTCATGAGGGTAGCCGGGAAACGGGGTCTGACAGAGGTATTGAGAGGTTGAAACTGGCTCGCTAAAAGTCCTCCCAACTTTAGCGAGCCGAGCAGTTTGACGACCGCCGGGAACAAGTGGAGATGTAATGTCCCGAACTACCACAGTAGAGGCAGCAGTTGGTCTTACGTCTATGTTGGCGCTCCTCCTTGGTTAACCCGTGCCGCCCCACTTGCATGGGTTCAGAATCGGGAGGCAGGACCTCTCCACTAATCCTGTGTGGTGGACAATGATCGACGTATTCTGGTCCACCCCCCGACCCGACTGGGAACTGAGAAGCTGATCGACTGGACGGGCCCCATTGCTTCTCCCTCCTTCGCTCTCGAACTCGGTTATCCACCCGAATAGACAAGGCTACCAAGCTGTCCAGGTCACTAGGCTCCGGATAGGAGATCAACTCATCCTTGAGCTGCTCCGACAGGCCCTGGTAAAAGGCCGCTTGCAGAGACTCCTCATTCCACCCACTCTCCACAGCCAACGTCCTGAACTCGATCACGAAGTCGGCAACGCTGCGAGTTCCTTGGTGAAGCGAAAACAGGCGCCTAGCTGCGTCCATACCTCGGACGGAATGGTCGAATAGCTTCCTCATCTCAGCCGTGAACTCCTGGTATGAAGCCATGCAGGTGTCCTGTCGTTCCCAAACGGCTGAAGCCCACTCCAGCGCTCGACCACGCAGCAACTCAATAACAAAGGCTATCCTAGCCTTGTCTGTGTATAAGAGTTGGGCTGTAGATCGAACACCAATCCACACTGCATAAGGAAAGAACGGCATCTTCCCAGCTCCCCCTCATATTTATCCGGCGTCGGAACCTTGGGCTCACGGGAAGACCTCCAGAGCGCAGCGAGATGGTGAAACGGTAGTTGGTTCTCACCGGCAACTGAGCTGGGCCTGGATCTTCGTCAGACTGGTAGAAAGGTTCCGAACTGACAACGCTATCTCCTGTAGTGCCGTGCTATGGTGTCCCACATCTTCTCCTGATGGGTAAAGGCATGGCGAACAGTTGACGTCAAGGTCCGCGGTGAGTGACTGCCGAGATGATGAGAACAACTGGCAGAGGTAAGTAGCAAAGCCAACAGGTGCAAACAAAAAAACTACCAGAAGCTCCACTGATACATGACAAACTATGTCTGGCAACGAAGGGAAATGTGATGTAGGAACAGATTAAAAAGGGTGCTGATATCAGGACCAGGTTTGCAGATCGCTGATGGGATGCAGGTGCGGTTAATCAGGAGAGCTCCCGCCTAGCAACGTCGCCCGGCAACCAGGCAGGGTGCGTTCCAGAACCCTCAGGAAACTGGAGATTCCGAGCAGAAAATGACAACACAGGCAGGAACCGACTCAGGATGCAGGGTTCATGACACAAATATGCTAAGGAGGATATTACATATTTATACCTTTGTGTACCTATTTAGGATACATCACCATGAAGAGAATGGCATTCATATGCATAATTATGCATTTATGTACAGGGACCCATGATTAAATTTTGTTACTGCAATTCCGTTACCGGGTGTAAATCTACTTCACTTACTGTAGTTCAATGACCAAAATATACTTTTTCAAAGTCAATGTGTCATGTCGAATCTTAATTCGGAGCAGATATTTAACAGAGTTTGGGGAAAATGTGAACATATAAAATGGAGGGAGATTTTATAGAAATTCTGTTACCGAACTTTGCGTCTGCACAGTTCTTCCAGTAAATGTGTTTTTGTAAAATGTTCAGTGTAAATTGTTCAGTGTAAATTGTTAAAACTGCATAGAGTTGAATGGTTTATTAAACTTTTAAATCAATGGTTTTTGTTTGGCACACACTTTAAGTGAAAAATCTGAGTCTCAGTGCAATTCTGTTACCGTGGAATTGCCCTAAGAGGAATATTGTCTGATAGAGATCTTCAAATAAGCATACCGTTGCTTTGTTCAAATAGGATATGAAGAAACTCCATTAAATGAATACTCATACCCGGGTTTATTTCGTTTCATCGATAATACAGGAGAAGTGACATCCACCCTCATGTGCCTGGGACAACATAACATAAGTCTCAGCTAAGACATGAGCTAACAAACCTAGATAAGAGGATTCATTTGCATGTTATTTCCATGAGATCCTGGTTAGTTGTTGAGTGCCAAGAGTGTAGAGCAGGCTGTTAGTGCCAACGGTCAGGGATTCCAGGATGAACCAATGGGAATGAGGGTGTGAGAGTGAACGGGATATATGGCTTTTCCCAAACAAAACAGATATCATCCCAAACCCACCCAATAAATAGACTGTTTAACAGATAAGGATCAGGCAACCACGGAGGGCTGCTAACTGTTGGAAACCATAGACAAACTCATGAAGAGATTATGTTATTGCTGATTTCACAAAGATAACATGATCACACTATATTCACTGACTGTGCTTTGTTCCTTAGACAGACTCAAGCCCAGACAATTCCCAATAAGACACTGAAAGCTTATAATCTATGTCAATACTTGGTGAGGAAAACGAAATTATCAGATGTTATTAGTTAGCTTTAAATGGGCTCCCCAGGATTCAGAGCTGTCTTTTAGAAGGTTTGGTATTGTACTAGCAAAATAACTATCTGAGAATAATTCATATCAGAGATGCTGGTTTGGTGATTGATATAATGCAAGGAATCTGCCTCAGATCACTTGATTTTGATCAGCTGATATACTGTATTTGGCTTGATTTGGTCTGTATTTTCCACATACAGTATGTACTGCAGTCATATGAAACAGCAAAAGCATCTTGTGGCTCATCACATGTCTCTCTCCACCAATCAAGATGTCATCATTCATCCCTTTGTTGGTTCAGTTGTTTTGCTCAGCGCATTCTTTATCAAAGCTTGCCAAGACTTATTCCTTGGAAAATTTTAAAGTCTTCAAAAGAAAGAAACAGGTCGCCTCTCTTTGTCACTTCCTGGTTATAGTCTAGTGACTAGTCATAGTCATGGGGCCTTGAGTTTCTCCTCACCACAGTCATATCATATGCTAAGGAAAAACTCAGGGCCCAAGTTCTAATGAAAGCAATGTGTCTGTTGCTCAACTGAATTTATGCTCAAATAAATTATTCTACATTAGCGTTGGAAACAGTAATAGTTTGATTCTATATTTCTGAAAATAATGTCTCAAGGTAGGATCACCTTATGTGTAATCTATACTCTCCTCATGAGTCCTATAGGTTGATCCCATGGGTTTTTCCTGCCTATTTCTCCCCATGATTTCACTCTAGTCTACATGATCTACTACTTAGTCAACACCCAGTATATCTCCGGCTAATCTCCAGACCTGGCTGCATGGCGGATATTCCTAGCTCTCTCCCTGCCTGTATCCCTACCCTCTGGCTCTATCCCATGTCCCAAGTGCAAACAAAAACAAACACGTCTCTCGGGAGAAGCAGGTGTCTTTCCAACGGGATAGATAAACAATTACACAGGACGTGGGTGTGTGTGTTCGGGGTGTGTGTGTGTGTTGATCCCAACAGTGCGTTGGAATCAACTTTGCATCTTGCTGATAGCATCTCTAAAGCCCCCTCAGACTAAGAAGAACTGCTGTTTATTTTCCCTCTGTGTGTTTCTTTTTAACTCTAATCTGCGTAAAAGCTGGGTATTGAAGATTAGGGGAGAAATATGTTCTCAATGTGGAAGTCCATGTGAATGACATACTTTATGGAGCCAACAGTGTGAATGGTTGTCAAGTTATAAAGACATACTACAATTAATTCATTTATTATTCACAAATGGATTGGTGGCAACATATTACATTTCATTACTTTGTGTAAGATCAGGAGTAAATCGGCCATAAAATAAAAATATAATAAAGACCAAAGTAACAGGCTTTTATTATTATGACAGTGGTAAATGGAAGAATTGTTTTGTTGTTTATAAATTACAATTTTGGGCTTTTCTCTCAAACAAATTCCAATTACATTTCCAATTGGGTGTCATGTAATTGCTAATATCCAGTGCTTGGGAAAGAGCTCACTGGAACTGAATATCCGACAGCACCTCTACTGCTTGAGTTCCTGCACCTCTTATAGAATATTAGCTAAAAAGTATTGTGGAATACCTGCACCTAAATGTAAACAATATCAGCACCCAAAATGAGTACCTACAACCATTTCAGTCCAAGTCAAGGGCTACTAGTATCCCATCAGGTAGCCGCGAGGTTAGAGCGTCTGGCCAGTAAACTGAAAGGTTGCAGGTTTGAATACTGGGAAAAAAACAAAAACATCTGTCTCTGTACACTTGAGCAAGGCACTTAACCTTGACCCTACTGATGTCTCAGGGGGAGTTGGGATATGCAACAAAACACATTTCCATTACACACTTGTGTGTAACAGGACAAATATAAGCACCCCCAAAATTATTATAGTATTATCACCCTACAAGCCATTAGTGAGCTTTACCCCAGACACTCTGATATGCCTTTAAGTTGCCTGCTGTTAGCTAAAGCAATCAATCACTTTATACAAGTGAGGTCTAATTAAGTGCTGACACTGGTTGCACCATGTACCATGTAGTTCTTCTATAGCTTGATGGTTATCTTAAGTCAAGGTGTATGCAAATTTGGCTTGAACATTTTCTTACCCTAAAATAGTACAAATTGTGATAGATAGTATAGGCTACAATAAAATCACTGTATTGTGGGTCACCTTTAATTCTGTCACTTTCTGTGTCACTGTCCTCCTCGTTGTCTTATGCACTGGCTCTTAACCAAGCCCAAAGGTAGACCAATACAAAGTACCAACACGTTATTGACTATTTTGCTCCACCCCTTACCGAGTTGTAATCCAATCCGATGCCCTGTCACAGGTAAAACCGGCCTCATATTCTCACACTATACCCCAAAAGCAAGAAAAGCCGACAAAACCCGTTCGTTCAGAGACACTTTTGCTCTGGCCCTCATTCCGAGTCGTAATTGAGTTTTTCTGGGAAAGAAGAAGGATCGGATTTACAGTACCAACTAGAAAGTCCAGTTCCACCAACCGAGATGTCACAGGAGCATGACAAGTAAGTGTTTTCAATCACCACTGCAAGTCCATTAGAACCAATGTGTTGAACTCATACAGCATTCTCTACTTTGGTGCAAAAATGAGCCGTCGATATTTGACTGTTTTTGAGGGGTTTTACTTGGTGCATGTGGATTCTAATAGAGTGTGAGAAAGTTTACTTTTTGCCTGTCTGACAAAACGAGGATGATTCAATATCTGTATTTATCGTGCTTGGGATCCGTGAGAGCGCCATTGAGAGTTTACAAGCACAGTTTCACTTGTCGTGTTCCAGCCTGCATGGCACAGGTGTACTGTATCTCTCCACCTGTCGTGCTAGTTCAGGCGCCTGTTCAGAGTACTGTTCTGCCGTTCCGTCTGTCAGTATTTGATTTAGCTTACAATAATTGAAGAAATTCGTCTTAATACCCCCTGGAGGTGTTTGATTTGGCTTTACCTTTGCAAGGCATACGTTTTGCCTATTGTTTTAGGCTACTTTATTGAAATTGAGGCATTATGCATATATTTTCCTATTTATTTTAGGATTGAAATGCAGTATGTGATGCCTAATCCATGCTTGTAATGTCATTTCTAATCGAAAATTACATTTTAATCGAAAAAATATAAATAATGATTTTTAGAATGATTTTAATATTTGCTCCAAAGTGGTCAAATGTGGATGTATTTTGTCAGTTTGAGGGCAATGACAAGGAGACTGTTGACTCCAGTGAAATCATACACCTGTTAGGCGTTGGCCCCTATAGTCAAAGGAACAATGTAAGCAAGCATTCTCTCCGTTGTATTGCATACAGACATACAGTCACTGGATGAATAATTTATTTTGACAGAATTATTTAATTGATTGAGATAGTGAATATGAAGAAAAAAAAGGGATTTTGATATTCACAAATAGGCCATTGTTGAAAGGGGGGGGAGTAGGCCAATAAATAACAACTTTTTCGTTTTATGTTTTTAATGTAATTCCAAATGTAAAATGTGTAATTTAGGCCAGCCTATTTCCTGACATCCAACAACGGTGTGAGAGGCAATTGGGGTTCCTCTTCAACATTTCTGGGAAAACAATGTAGACAACGCTATTTATTCAGTGTCCAATTCAATGCTTTTTTTTCCAAATAGAAAAAACGTTAATGCTCCTTTGTTTTAACAATGTATTGCCAGTTATTGCCATTAACGAATATATCGGGTTGAAAATCCCTAACGCCTCAATTTTACCCGGGAAACAGTTTGTGAATGAAACAATTAGATATTGGATTACTAATAATATGTTTACCTTGACCAGTCAGAATAAAAGCCTTTTCTGTAGTAACTATAGCTTGGAAACAAAAGGAAATCAATCCATAAATTCAGTGTATGCCACTCTGGAGAAGCGTTCATGTGAATTGAGGATAGAAAAGCTATAGGTATCATATCTCACGCTAGCTTTTATTTTATAGGATCATAGGAGACATTTTGTTTGTAGATATATTTATTGAATGAAATAAATATGCCCAGTGTAGACTTTAGGTCTGAGAAGTCGTCATTGTTTGCACTTTCAATATTGTTCCCACATCCCACTTGAAAGCTCTAGGGTTCTGTTTGTGACTGTAAAATCATTCAGTTAAAAATAAAACTACTGAGTAATTGTGTGATCATGTCATATAACACACTACACTATTCCAAGTTTGACCTTCACCCACAATTGACAGAAAGACTGCATTGCTTCTCATAATACAATGGTGTAGACCTGGGCCTAATAGGTTAATAATAAGTGCCTTATCAAGTCCTAGAAGAATAAGATTTGTATTGATTTCTTATACTGTAGAGTTACCTACCAACATGTAAATTAGAACTACATTGACCCCCTCCCATACACCTAGCCCCTTCACTAAACACCAGAAGAAGGTGTAGCCAAGTCTTTTTTTTTTTTTTTTTTTTTTTGTTCCTCTTCGAGAGAGGATGCATTACTTGCTTTCTTTGGGAGTGTATTCAGTTAAGCTTGGTGATGATGATGATGACGATGGCGATAAATGTTCTCAAACAGGTTCTCTAAAAATAAAACAACAACCCAGTCTGATAAACCCTGGAATGTTGCACTAGATCCTTCTGTGTAGATAACAGACAGGTAACCAATAGGAAACACTTAACAACAGACAGGTAACCAATAGGAAACGCTTAACAGCAGACAGATAACTAATAGGAAACATTCAATAGCAGACGGGTAACCAATAGGAAACTGTTGATCATCATGAGCTGTCACACTGGAAGAGCCAGTCTTTTCTCCGAGATGCCATAATCTCACAAATTGCTGAGATTTGTTGCACAATCGTCTTGCTTGTACAACAGGTCTGGAAGATAAAGTGTGACATTGTTGATCTCTCCAACTGTTAGTTGGTTGTGAACAAGGCAGTGATTGTTGCTCTGACTGTCTGTTGATATATTACGTGCTGTCAGTCTGGCGTATCCATCTGATGATTCACTGTCTGATTTTTAAGTGAACCAGTTAGAGAAACAGGGTCACATTAACTATATTAACATATTTATAACTCAGTCCATCTTAAATGTGTAGCTTATTATTATTATTATTATTATTATTATTGCAGCTCCTGGTTTTGACATGTACTATATGTAGCACGAGTTGCTTTCTCCCATGACATTGTCACGGCACTCCTCCTAACCTCTCTCTCTCTCCTCTCTCCCCCTCTGCCAGTAAGAGGGCAGTCCTGGTGCTGCAGAATGATCCCAGCTACGGTCAGCGGCGGCCATTCACCAACGAGGACGAGGCGTGGAAGTCGTTCCTGGAGAATCCCCTGACGGCCGCCACCAAGGCCATGATGAGCATCAACGGGGACGAGGACAGCGCCGCAGCCCTGGGCCTCCTCTACGACTACTACAAGGTAACATAGAAGTGACAGAACCAAGGCTGGTTATTACCGGTACAGGAGCTGTATTCCCTCACAGGTGTCATGACACTCCTATAAGGTGTATATGGCTGCACTGTAATTGATTATTATCAATTCATAACAGCACAGCCACAAATAAGCTCCCCACTTGGCAAGCATCAAAATGACAACCACACAATTTGAACCATTGTGTTTATTAATGATTTATAAACCCTTATCCACTAGTACGGCCTATGAAATATGTATGCACTCACTAACTGTAGTCGCTCTGGATAAGAGCGTCTGCTAAATGACTAAAATGTAAATGTAAACTAAACGACTGAAGTAGCTTTACTCAAGACCTGTGTCTTCCAGACTTCATTTGTGAAGCAGCCACAGCACATTGACTGGTTGCCATTTTGTTTTCCATGTAGACAGAGATGGTTCTATTGGATGTGGTCAGACTCACAGCGGCTGTGTTTACCTTCCCATGCAGGTTCCCCGGGAGAAGAGAACAATATCTCAGACCAAGACAGACTCACTGGGCTCTGATGTGGATCCCAACAAAAGGTATATGTAGGTATAACATCCCTTTTACAAACCAGAATTTGCCATGGTAATGCATTTTAGCATTATGTTTTGTTTCTGTGTGTGTGTGTGTGTTGGTTGGTTGATATCCACGCGATACCCACGCCCCACCTGTCTATGGTCCTTATTTCATATTAAACCAATGACATTTTACCTGCCCTGTTTTTTTTAATTGTTATTTTTAATTGTTCTTGCTCAGGCACTTGATGACCCCCCTGCAAGAGACTTCCATGGCGTCAGCGGAGAGCAGGATCCAGGTTCTGAAGGGCCCCTTTAACATCCTCCTGCCCAACCAGCTGCATGGCCATGACAACAAGAGGGGAGTCCCTTTCCCCTCCCCAGACACCACTGTCACCGTCTCCATCGCCACCGTCCCCAACTACCCCAATGTCAAGATGGAGGGGCCCTCCAACAGCTTCTCTGTCACAGTCCCCAACCACTGCTCTGAGTCCGACAGCCACACGGTGGAGTTCGCCCGGCAGCTCACCCACAGCCAGTTCAGCCCCAGCACCCAGTCCCGAACCCCCGACTCCACCTTCCCAGAGAACTATAAGGACGGTCACCAAGAGGTGTGTAAACATGCTCAACAACAAGGATCCAATAGCCTTTTCTCTCATCTAAAACCCCCCAACCCTCCCCCACTTTCAGATCTCTCTCTCCCCCGTCAGACAATACCCCTTTTACCTGAGCCTCTGGAGCCTACAACAGTGGATCTCAGCCCTCCCTGTTTTATTTGAATATGCCAAAATAGCGGACCAGCGTGTTATTATGCCATTGTCTGGCCTACACAATAAAGTGCTGTACTATTTCCCCCCTACAATAGCCCAGGCCCTTTCTCTCTCCTCTCTCTCTTTCTCTATTTAACCTGGAGGGGGATTACCTTGAAAAGGGATAACCCAACACAACCCCCTTCACACAGGGGGAGGGAGGGAGGGAGGGAAGGAGAGAGGGAGGGATTGGAAGGGAAGTGGTTTGTTTCCCCTTCACTGAAAAAGAGAGAAAGCGGGCAAGAGAGAGGGAGAAAGAGAGAGAGAGCTCCCTTGACTCCCTTTAACCCCTGAAAGCACTAGCTACAGCCTCGTCATGGATGCTTGTCTAAATCCAAGCCCTCTCTCCTCTTTGTGTGCCGCAGGTGTTCTCCTTCCCAGGGGATCTCCAGTTACGCCTGGCCTCCATCGCGCCAGAGGAATACACCGCTTTTGACACCGTGCCGGGGTAAGCCCGCCGGCCGCCCGCTGTCGCCATTCAGGCCCTGATAGAAGACTACTGAAAATAGCCTCATTCACCACAGTCACCTGGGAGTCACCAGATTCCCTCAGTGTAAAAGGCACAATGCCAAACAACAGGGCCTCTGTGACGCTACGAGGAGTTTGGGTCACGATCAAGTCAATGGGAAGGGATTGATGAGTGGGGCCTTAATGTGAAGGCATACCCTTTCCATATCCTGAAATCCAGACCTGTTTTGTGCCAAACATATGACACAGAGTACAAGGAGTGGAATGTCAGCACAAAACAGGTCTGGATTTCAGGCTACTCTTTCCCTAAAGGAAAATACAAATGTACTATTGTAACCAATACTTATTTCTCTATTAGGAATAATTTTGAGTACACCCTGGAGGCGTCCAAGTCGCTGCGTCAGAAGACAGGTGACGGCACCATGACGTACCTGAACAAGGGTCAGTTCTACCCTATCAGCCTCAGGGAGATGGACAACAGCAAGCAGCTTCACCACCCCATCAGCAAAGTCAGGGTAAGACCACACCACAAAGCTAGCTAGTCTCATTGTTGAAGTACCAATACATGATATGAGTAGGTCTCATGTTAAAGATACCTCTGGTGAAAGGTTAGACAGAATAAACAGAGAAATCTTAGGCGAGTTGGTAGCTATTTTGCTAATAGTAGCTTTTAGCTACTAACAGGTCTGATCTCGTTAAATTGAATGTGTCAGTTGAGCTAACATGTTTGATGGCCCTGGGATTGTGTGCTCCATTTCAGAGTGTGGTGATGGTGGTGTTCGGGGAAGAGAAGTGCAGAGATGACCAGCTGAAGCACTGGAAGTACTGGCACTCCAGACAGCACACAGCCAAGCAGAGGTGTCTTGATATTGGTAAGAGCCCATGCTACTGGAGTCTACATCACACACATCTCCACAATAACTCCTAAAGGGAAGTTTAAAGGACTAAAGAATACATTAAAGGCCTGATTTACGGTGCGAAGCACAAGGAAAAACAAAACACTGGCTAAAACATTCATTGCTTTACCCTTTAAAAGTGTTAATGAACCTGTTTTATTACTTCTGGGAAATAACAGGTGCAAATTTCCCATTACAAATGCTTACTAAATTAGGCCATAGTTTCTTATGTTACATAAAGTCTCCAGAAGTACTTCATGAATGGTGACGAATGCATTTGATCATATCTACCTAACACTCTTACCATACCATCCTGCACTGCCACTGATTCACTGTTGTTCCCTGAATTGTTGTGCAATCATCACCCTCCATTTCCTCCCTCCTGTCACATGCTGTCTCTGTCTCAGCTCAAGGAGGAGCAGGCAGCTAGCCAAGGAGCCAGACAGACAGATCCACCCAATGAACAACACAAACTGGGCCTGTATTCAAAAAGTGTCTCAGAGTAGGAGTGCTGATCTAGGATCAGGTCCTCCCTAGTCCATATAAACTTAATCTTATTCATTAATACTCATTGGTTGAATCTTAACAAACCTCTTTAGAACAATACACCTGATTGGATAAGGGAGGGTGAGAGTGTGGGTGGAAATGGGACAAGGCCAGTTGCCCTGTTTGTTAATAATACCTGTGTAAACTGGGCTCCATGGTGGCTCCCTGTCAGAACAATCCAGTAACTTAATTTTCTGGAGGTAGACTGATCAATCTTACTCTGCACGCACACACTGTGAAAAGAAAGCTTAATTCTGCTTGACAGAGGAAAGTGTATTGTCTCATTTGCAGTCTGAATTTGATGGAAGGACTATGGGCGAAAGGTGACTGTTGATACACCCTGCTTGCTTTGGATTAAAGTAGTCAGTCAGTCAAAAACGTAGAGGCGCCCTACTTAAACAGTGTGGTTTGTAGTAAAGGGCTATAGGCCAAGGTGTGAGAGTGTATTGGTGATCCCTAGTAAGGAAGTTGATTGTGATTGGTCAGAACTTAAAGTTGGCGACCAAGCACCTAGATTTCCGAATTTCTCGCGTTATTTTGTAAAATGGCAGAGTGAAAATGGCTCTGAAAGACTTGGAAGTACAATAATGCGAGACTAGGAGGCCAATACCACAGAGGGAGCTTTTTTTATCCACACCTTTGAGGATCGACTTCACTAGTGTGGGAGCACATTCTCAGTACTTGTATCTAAAACAAGCTACTGACCTGAGCTTCATTCTTATGCAACGCTACTAAGACAATGAAATCAACCCTATCCTTATAATATTGTCATCCTTCCTCCAATAAAATATCAGAAGTCTCCTTCCACCACTCCATACATCAACTTAGCCAACTTACTGTAGTTTCATAACTTAGCCACGACCGCAGCCCCTTTTCATTGAAAGTCTAATGTCAATGCTAACAGTACAGTCCATTATGTGTCCTGTCGTTCCCAGCTGACTACAAGGAGAGCTTCAACACCATCAGCAACATCGAGGAGATCTCCTACAACGCCATATCCTTCACCTGGGACATCAACGAGGAGGCTAAGGTGAGATACAGGAAACATACCTTGGGTATGAGGAATGAGAGGAAAAAGGTGAAGGGAGATGGAGAGAAAGTTGTAGGTCAACTTGTTTATCCCTACAACACATCAAATCAAATCAAATGTGTATTGGTCACATACACATATTTAGCAGATGTTATTGCTGGTATAGCGAAATGCTTGTGATCCTAGCTCCAACAGTGCAGTAATATCTAACAATACACACAAATCTAAAAGTAAAATAATTAGGAAATATAGAAATATATACAGTACCAGTCAAAAGTTTGGACACACCTACTCATACAAGGGTTTTTCTTTATTTTTACTATTTTCTACATTGTGCAAAGCTGTCATCAAGGCAAAGGGTGGCTATTTGAATAATTATAACACTATTATTCTACAAAATAAAGAAAAACCCTTGAATGAGTAGGTGTGTCCAAACTTTTGACTGGTACTGTATATATATATATATATACTGTATGTGATGGGATGTATAGACATTGTGGACAGCATATGGATATAATATATAGTATATCTGAAGGATATGTAGGATAGAATAGTATATGTGGTCAGATGAAGCAGATGCTAAGCTACAGGACTGTTTTGCTAGCACAGACTGGAATATGTTCCGGGATTCTTCCGATGGCATTGAGGAGTACACCACATCAGTCACTGGCTTCATCAATAAGTGCATCGATGACATCGTCCCCACAGTGACTGTACATACCCCAACCAGAAGCCATGGATTACAGGCAACATCCGCACTGAGCTAAAGGGTAGAGCTGCCGCTTTCAAGGAGCTTATAAGAAATCCCGCTATGCCCTCCGACGAACCATCAAACAGGCAAAGCGTCAACACAGGACTAAGATCGAATCGTACTACACCGGCTCCGACACTCGTCGGATGTGGCAGGGCTTGCAAACTATTACAGACTACAAAGGGAAGCACAGCCGCGAGCTGCCCAGTGACACGAGCCTACCAGACAAGCTAAATTACTTCTATGCTCTCTTCGAGGCAAGTAACACTGAAACATGCATGAGAGCATCAGCTGTTCCGGATGACTGTGTGATCACGCTCTCCGTAGCCGATGTGAGTAAGACCTTAAAACAGGTCAACATTCACAAGGCCGCAGGGCCAGACGGATTACCAGGACGTGTAGTCCGAGCATGCGCTGACCAACTGGCAAGTGTCTTCACTGACATTTTCAACCTCTCCCTGTCTGAGTCTGTAATACCAACATGTTTCAAGCAGACCACTATAGTCCCTGTGCCCAAGAACACTAAGGTAACCTGCCTAAATGACTACCGACCCGTAGCACTCACATCTGTAGCCATGAAGTGCTTTGAAAGGCTGGTCATGGCTCACATCAACACCATTATCTCAGAAACCCTAGAACCACTCCAATTTGCATATCGCCCCAACAGATCCACAGATGATGCAATCTCTATTGCGCTCCACACTGCCCTTTCACACCTGGACAAAAATAACACCTATGTGAGAATGTTATTCATTGACTACAGCTCAGCGTTCAACACCATAGTGCCCTCAAAGCTCATCACTAAGCTAAGGATCCTGGGACTAAACACCTCCCTCTGCAACTGGATCCTGGACTTCCTGTCGGGCCGTCCTCCAGGTGGTAAGGGTAGGTAACAACACATCCGCCACGCTGGTACTCTACACGGGGGCCCCTCAGGGGTGCGTGCTCAGTCCCCTCCTGAACTCCCTGTTCACTCATGACTGCATGACCAGGCACGACTCCAACACCATCATTAAGTTTGCCGACGACACAACAGTGGTAGGCCTGATCACCTACAACGATGAGAGCCTATAGGGAGGAGGTCAGAGACCTGGCCAGAACAGCAACCTCTCCCTCAACGTGATCAAGACAAAGGAGATGATTGTGGACTAAAGGAAAAAGAAGAGGACCGAGCACACCCCCATTCTCATTGATGGGGCTGTAGTGGAGCAGGTTGAGAGCTTCAAGTTCCTTGGTGTCCACAACACCAACAAACTAACATGGTCCAAGCACACCAAGACAGTCGTGAAGAGGGCACGACAAAACCTATTCCCCCTAAGGAGACTGAAAAGATTTGGCATGGGTCCTCAGATCCTCAAAAGGTTCTACAGCTGCACCATCGAGAGCATCCTGACTGGTTGCATCGCTGCCTGGTATGGCAACTGTCTGTAAACAATTGTTGGAAAAATTACTTGTGTCAAACTATAGTTTTGGCAAGTCGGTTAGGACATCTACTTTGTGCATGACACAAGTAATTTTTCCAACAATTGTTTACAGACACAGTATTTCACTTATAATTCACTGTATCACAATTCCAGTGGGTCAGAAGTTTACATACACTAAGTTGACTGTGCCTTTAAACAGCTTTGAAAATTCCAGAAAATGATGTCATGGCTTTAGGAGCTTCTGATAGGCTAATTGACATAATTTGAGTCAATTGGAGGTGTACCTGTGGATGTATTTCAAGGCCTACCTTCAAACTCAGTGCCTCTTTGCTTGACATCATGGGAAAATCAAAAGAAATCAGCCAAGACCTCAGAAAAAATATTGTAGACCTCCAAAAGTCTGGTTCACCCTTGGGAGCAATTTCCAAACACCTGAAGGTACCACGTTCATCTGTACAAACAATAGTACGCACGTATAAACACCATGGGACCACGCAGCCATCATACCGCTCAGGAAGGTGACACGTTCTGTCTCCTAGAGATTAACGTACTTTGGTGCGAAAAGTGCAAATCAATCCCAGAACAATAGTAAAGGACCTTGTGAAGATGCTGGTGGAAACAGGTACAAAAGTGTCTATATCTACAGTAAAACGAGTCCTATATCGACAAAACCTGAAAGGCCGCTCAGCAAGGAAGAAGCCACTGCTCCAAAACCGCCATTAAAAAGCCAGACTACGGTTTGCAACTGCACATGGGGACAAAGATCTTACTTTTTGGAGAAATGTCCTCTGGTCTGATGAAACAAACATAGAAGTGTTTTGCCATAATGACCATCTTTATGTTTGGAGGAAAAAGGGGTCGCTTGCAAACCGAAGAACACAATCCCAAACGTGAAGCACGGGGTTGGCAGCATCATGCTGTGGGGGTGCTTTGCTGTAGGAGGGACTGGTGCACTTCACAAAATAGATGGCATCATGAGGAAGGAGAATTATGTGGATATATTGAAGCAACATCTCAAGACATCAGTCAGGAAGTTAAAGCTTGGTCGCAAATGGGTCTTCCAAATGGACAATGACCCCAAGCATACTTCCAAAGTTGTGGCAAAATGGCTTAAGGACAACAAAGTCAAAGTCAAACTTCTGACCCACTGGGAATGTGATGAAAGAAATAAAAGCTGAAATAAATAATTCTCTCTACTATTATTCTGACATTTCACATTCTTAAAATAAAGTGGTGATCCTAACTGAGCTAAAACAGGGAATTTGTACTAGGATTAAATGTCAGGAATTGTGAAAAACTGAGTTTAAATGTATTTGGCTAAGGTGTATGTAAACTTCCAACTTCAACTGTAGGTAGGTGTTTGTCTGCCGTTGAGGCCACATTCTTTTACCTGTCATCGCCATTGTTTAGCTAATGTGATGCACATACAAGGGAGGCCTTAGGGGCTAAGACGTGCCCAACAATGGGAGTTGGAATGAGGAAACGCGGCAGGGGGGCAGAAAACTGGATTTGACAGCTAACGATGGAATCCTGTCCGACCGGGTTCGAGGGAAGAGCAGTATTCCACTGTTCCTGACCAGTTTTTTTGGTCGTGAGGGATGGCGTCAACTGCCAACCTCCCAGACGGTTGTGAGGGATGGTGTCAACTGTCAACCTCCCAGACGTTTTAGCTAGCGCTTTGTGTTCGTGTAGTGCTATGACACTGCTACTGTTGATTGTTCGACTGTAACCTGGGATGTTAACACAATTAGGCTAACAAATAGACGGGCAGACAAGACAGTACCGCAGTTCATAAATCCCTTGGATCCCCTGAGGGAGACACACACAGACACACACACATAACCAGGATGTGGTCTTCTCGTCTCATGACCCGAGGCCTGTGTCCATAGGATAGAGGATGTTCATCCTTGTGTGTGTGTACTGTGTATAACCACCTGTTTGTACTGTGTAGAATCACCTTTGTGTACCCACCACTCTGCCTGTTTGTTAGAACCACAGATGAGCCAGGTGTAAGGTGTCACACTAAGGATGATGTGTAAGACTGATAGGACACATAGTCACTGCGTTTGTGTACGTATGCGTGTGTGTGAAAGATGCTTTACCTTCTCTCGTTGTGCCCCCTGGTGATTTGAAACGTAGGCACACACAGTTTACTCTGAAGGCAGAAGTGAAACAGAAGTCAAAGCAGGAGCAGCCTTTCCCAAATGTTGACACCCTTTGGGTTTCTTGATAGGACATACTCCTAGGATCATGAGAATAGGTCATTATATGATGAGATCACCTTTACTGAAGATGAGTAATTGCAAAAACATTTAAATGGAACATGTAGCTCATGAGACTATGTTGCGCCAGACATGACTTTACATGAAGTAAGCCATATAGTTACTTACTACTTTGGTTAACCGGTCGGCTATTTGATTAAACCAAGCATCTCATTTAGAAAACTAGTTCAATTCAGCTTAAAATTAACTACAAAATGTAGTTACTATATAGTTACTATGTGATTATAGAAATAAATTAACAGTTGTCACTACATGATATCTGTGCAAACTTGCAGTTAACGTTTCTCAGTGGTTATAATATTAAGTAAGCATATTGACATAGTACTTTCTAAAGAAAGCGATGTTTTGAAATTGCTTTCAGCAACCTTCTTTTAGTGGTTGCTAGTAGAACTGAGTCAACATGTAATTACCACTGTCTGCCAAAAGAGGGAGACACACACTAGTTCAGTAAAGACTGCACGTACAAAAACAAGGAACCAGACAGAGATTCTATGCTCTTTGGAATTCAGTGGGAGTGGAACCAGTGGGAATGCTGTCGAAAAAATATGACCTAATTTACTGTGCATGGAACATCAGTCATTGACAAAGAATACAATCCAATTTCACCATTTGCATTATTTTAGCTTTTTTCTACAACTATAAAAATAAATTTCTATACAGAATAAACAGGGTCTAATGCCTTAAGTGTAAGATACTGTACCATGCGTTGTGCACAATCACTATAGTGTTTAACATAGTGAGGCAATGGTACACAAATCCCCCCCCCCACACACACCATTTGTTGTTATGCATGGTTTTAAGGTACCTGAATTACTCAACAAATAAAATTCCCACTGAAAAAACAACATCCTGAATCTTCCTCCTCTTCCTCCTCCTCTTCCTCAGATCTTCATCTCGGTCAACTGCCTAAGCACAGACTTCTCCTCCCAGAAGGGGGTGAAGGGCCTTCCACTGAATCTGCAGATAGACACCTACAGCTACAACAACCGCAGTAACAAGCCAATCCACCGGGCCTTCTGCCAGATCAAGGTGTTCTGTGACAAGGGAGCTGAGAGGAAGATCAGAGACGAGGAGAGGAAGCAGTCTCGCAGGAAGGGCAAGTGCACCGACCTCACCGCCAGTATGGGAGCATGTGAGTGCCCACTGAGCATAGACACATAGAAATGAGCATAGACACATAAACACACACAGGCGCAAGCACACACATACACACACAATAATATACTGAACAAAAATATAAACGCAACATGCAACAATTTCAAAGATTTTAATGAGTTACAGTTCATATAAGGAAATCAGTCAATTGAAATAAATTCATTAGGCCCTAATCTATGGATTTTACTTGAGAATACAGACATGTATCTGTTGCTCACAGATAACTTTTTTTGAAAGGTAGGGACATGGATCAGAAAACCAGTCAGTATCTGGTGTGTCCACCATTTGCCTCATGCAGTGCAGCACATAGAGTTGATCAGGCTGTTGATTGTGGCCTGTGGAATATTGTCCCACTCCTCTTCAATGGCTGTGCGAAGTTGCTGGATATTGGCGGGAACTGGAACACCCTGTCTTACACATCGATCCAGAGCATTCCAAACATGCTCAATGTGTGACATGTCTGGTGAGTATGCAGGCCATGGAAGAACTGGGACATTTTCAGCTTCCAGGAATTGTGTACAGATCCTTGCGACATGGGGCCGTGAATTATCATGCTGAAACATGAGGTGATGGCGGAGGATGAATGACACGACTATGAGCCTCAAGATCTCGTCACGGTATCTCTGCGTATTCAAATTGCCTGCTACGTTGTCCGTAGCTTATGCCTGCCCATACACCCACCGCCACCATGGGGCACTCTGCTCACAAGATTGACATCAGCAAACTGCTCGCCCACACGACGCCAAACACGTGGTCTGTGGTTGCGAGGCTGGTTGGACTTACTGCCAAATTCTCTAAAACAACGTTGGAGGTGGCTTATGGTAGAGAAATTAACATTAAATTTTCTGGCAACAGCTCTGGTGGACATCCCTGCAGTCAGCATGCCTATTGCATGCTCCCTCAAAACGTGATACATCTGTGGCATTGTGTTGTGTGACAAAACTGCACATTTTAGAGTGGCCTTTTATTGTCCCCAGCACAAGGTGCACCTGTGTAATGATCATGCTGTTTAATCAGCTTCTTGATATGCCACACCTGTCAGGTGGATGGATTATCTTGTCAAAGGACGAATGCTCACTAACAGAGATTAAAATAAATGTGTGCACAATATTTGAGATAAATAAGCTTTTTGTGCGTATGGAAAATGGGACCAACACTTTACATGTTGCGTTTATATTTTTGTTCAGTGTTATATGATCTATTCTTGCAACGATACACATCAACAAGGCTCATCATTTGTCATTTTCGACCCCCCCCCCCCCCATAGATGGTGACGTCAAAGTCCCTCTTCTTCAGAAGCGTAATGATGTCACAACCTTCAAGATGATGACTGACTTTGAGACTCAGCCGGTTCTCTTCATCCCTGACATCCACTTCTCCAACGTCCAGCGCCATGTGAGTACCCCTATACACTGATCTATGGTCCGTCTTGCATTTCACCTTCTAATGGTGAATGGTTAGGATTTGGGCAGGGTAAGCTGACCCTAGATATGTATCTTAAGGCAACTTCTACCCAGACATGACAGGGTCAACATCCTTGGCCAGGTAACCGAATGCAGGGTTATGCAAAGTATGCATACCACCTAAATGTTATGGGATGGTACCTGTGACATTCAAACTGATATTAAAACAGTTTAATTTTCCTGATATACTGTAGGTGTGGTGATAAGGCTGTTATCAGATTAATTGGGACAAAATTATAAACGCCAACCCTTTTTTTAGCGGATTCCAAAAAATCTACCTGTGTATTTGCATTGGGCTGTATGTAGGCTGCACAAGTGGACCACAACAGCCATGCATTTAGAATACATCGTAGTTATACCTACTTAATTGCCATGCAAGTGCAAGGTAGAATTTACTATAGAGTACCGGTAAGTATACAAATGATATGTTTTGTGATAAGATAAGAGCACATACTGTACTTGGTGCAGATTCAATGATACAAATCTTATCAAAGGGCATTTGAATGCAACTCCCACCAGCCACTGACTACCAAAGAGTCCAAACCACCCCCCACCATGTTTCCTTCAGACTTCTAAGAGCCCCTCATTCTGACACTCCTTCACTAAATACCAGGTGTTCTTTAGTGGGTGGATATCCCCCTAAGGCTATCTTACTTTAGAGTGTAGAGGCTCTGCCTATGCATTGTTAATAGATGAGTTAGAGACCCAACCTTAGTGTTTGATGTCCAAGCCCTGAACACCATTGATGTCCAGGGATTTTAAGGGGATCTGCTGTGCATTATGGGGGATCAAAATTCCAGAAACTTTCACAATATTCCCAGGTTTTATGGACTTTTGAAATCCTATAGGGGAATGTGTTATGTCTGTGCCGTGTTGTGACCCTGCATACCCAGCGCTCCTCCTATCGGTCACTCCTCCCCAGCTGGTAGGGTCAGGGTGTGAGTCAGAAGACATATTCCAGACACCACACTCTGGATCATTGCGTTAGAGCTCGCCACTCAGAGAGTGGTACTAAGCAGGGGTTGGAACAAAAATTATTTTCCAATCGTTTCATTCTGAACAGAACCATTCTTTTTTTGGTTCCGTTCCACTGTTCCGACCAGCAAAATGAAGTTCTGAACTGGTTCGAACCCAAAAATAGTAGCGGTTTATATTGTTCCTTTCTATTCCTTTTTAAACCTTTGAAATACAATATTTTGTACATTTAGCTCGACATTAAATTACTTCACCAATCATTGTGGCTAGAGCCGCTTGCTATGGAGTGGGCAAGCTATTTACATGCATTGAACAGACGAGTGTAGGGCGCAAGATGCAACTAATATTTTGCAGGTGGGGAGAGAGCGAGAGAGGTTGGAGGAGGAGGCTTGGCTTGAAGCGCTGGGCATCTTGTTGTTATGACATGCATTAAGATGTGCGTCACATTACGTGGTTCCCGGTGGGTAAAGAGTTTCACAACTCCTACTCAGCACAAGGTGACCTCAAGCCAACCAAAACTCACAGGCTAGACTTGCCAATTGGCCAGGACTTTGTAATCCTGTAATATCATGGGATCAGGGGTTATTCAGACTGGGACTTTCCAGTGTGTTCTAATAGGGGGAGATAGCCTTGGGATTGGCTGATGTGTGTGTTTATGTGCCAAAGATCTTACATGGTGCTTCAATGAATCAAAACATGTTTGGAATCACTCTTAAGCATGTATAGCAGATTAAAAAATATATACTTTTAACGTAATTGATTATTTTAAGCCCGGTGCTCTTTGAATAAGGCACCTAATACATTATGTCTAGAGTAGACTGCACCTGTTGCACTTGTGACTTGGTTTGACACCAAGGTGAGAGGAGACAGAGGGTAGTGTAGCTCTGTCTGTCTGCGTGTGGTATGTCAGGTCTCTCAACATTACCCAACAGCACACCTCTAGCAGTGCTCCCAGCCAGCGTGACATAACATGGCCTTCAGGTTGGATGCAGGAAGCATAGAGTGAAGCATTTCCCCTTGATTTTTAGAGCCAAGAATATACAGAGTCAATCTAACATGTTTTTAGGTCTCATGTTGAGACCAAATGTTCCAGGGCCCTGTTTGAACACTAGCAATGGATTCTTCCTTCCTTCCTGCTGTGAGGTCATCAGAAATCAGACCGAATTGGTGAAAGCCACATTTACTTCTTCAACCTCAATAGATCACTAATATTTCAAGGAAATTAGTAAGGAAGGATGGTTTAGTATATAACAGGGCCCAAGTCATTGCAAAGCTCTGAGAATGTTGTCTGTACAGTGGGTATGTTGCCAACATTGGGGACCAGGATAGACAGTGTTGTTTTGCTGAGACATTTTCAGCTTCCATGAATTGTGTACAGATCCTTGCGACATGGGGCCGTGAATTATCATGCTGAAACATGAGGTGATGGCGGAGGATGAATGACACGACTATGAGCCTCAAGATCTCGTCACGGTATCTCTGCGCATTCAAATTGCCTGCCACGTTGTCCGTAGCTTATGCCTGCCCATACACCCACCGCCACCCTATTGGCTACAGTGGCACCAGGGTCCTGTTCATTAGGTTTAAATGTTTAAAAACATATTATTGCAACAGAAAACAAAAATCTGTGTTTCTCATTGGTAGTGTTCCTCCCTGTTTCAGTCCGTTTGGTGCCTAATGAACATGACCCAGCTCAATGAGTTCACTGATTTCTGGGCCACATGGCGCTACTGAGCTGCAGAGTGGACTGAGCTGAAAATAAACCTTTCCTGTTTACTTTTCTGATCCAGCCTGGAGGGAAAACATTTATTTTGGTGCACAATTGGCAGTTGGATCCAAAATAGCAACCCAGTAAACCTCCAGCACATTTATCTGTGACTGATTAGCAGGGTGACTGGGTTTCCTCTGAGAATAGCCTACATTGATTTAGCTCTGGTCCAGGTCGTTAGTGCGCTCTGCTCCACTACATAGTAGAGGGGTGCACACTAACAACCTGGACCAGAGCTAATATTGATTATAGCACAAGTTACCGGGTTTGTCGGTTTCAGAGAAATATCACTCCTCTTGTGCTGCAAGAATGGCCTGAACAAGAAAATCCTATAAGTGTGAGTCAGAATAAGTAAAGTATACCAGCTGTAGCTCAGCTGGTAGAGCACGGCGCTTGAAACGCCAAGGTAGTGGGTTCGATCCCCGGGACCACCCATACACAAAAATGTATGCACGCATGACTGTAAGTCGCTTTGGATAAAAGCGTCTGCTAAATGGCATATTATTATTATTATTATTATTATTATTATTATTATTATTATTATATCCAAAACACTGTCATTAAATTTGATTGAAGAGTTCCCCAAGGATTGTTGTCACTGCCCACAAAGTCCAATCGACCTATTTTCTTGCACTTATTTCCAAATGCGGTCCATATCAGATAAAATCACCTCTTTGATATGTAGGAATGTGTGTTTTCACCCTTGACCCATATCACTCACTTCTCTTTCTCACTCACTTCCCTTTCTCACTCACTTCTCTTTCTCACTCACTTCCCTTCTCACTCACTTCGTCTGTCACTCACTTCCTCCACTCACTTCCCTTCTCACTCACTTCCTTTCTCACTCACTCCCTTTCTCACTCACTTCCCTTTCTCACTCACTTCCCTTTCTCACTCACTTCTCTTTCTCACTCACTTCCCTTTCTCACTCACTTCTCTTTCTCACTCACTTCCCTTTCTCACTCACTTCCCTTTCTCACTCACTTCCCTTTCTCACTCACTTCCCTTCTCACTCACTTCCCTTTCTCACTCACTTCCCTTTCTCACTCACTTTCTTTCTCACTCACTTCCCTTTCTCACTCACTTCTCTTTCTCTCCATGCAGCCCTTCTCACAAGAAGATGGAGAGGAAAGGTGAGTTCCTGGAAACACACATTTTACACTTGTTTGTCTGTAATTTGATTTAAGTGGGTGGAAAACGGCTGGAGAAAATAAAGACAGTATGGTCTAGGACCTTCCTGCCACTTCTCTGTGAGAGGGCCTGTGTGTGTGTGTGTGTGTGTGTGTGTGTGTGTGTGTGTGTGTGTGTGTAAACGCTCTAAGCCAACTTTTCGTGTGTGTCCGTAGCAGCTCGGGCATGAAGAGATTACCCTACGCCAATGAGGATGAGTTTGGTTCCCCTCCCAATAAGCTGGCCAGAATGGACGAGCCCAAGAAAGGTATGATGTCTGTATGTGGGGTGTTTTTGTGTTCTATTTTTTATTTTCTTTATTTTTTTACCTTTATTTAACCAGGTAGGCCAGTTGAGAACAAGTTCTCATTTACAACTGCAACCTGGCCAAGATAAAGCAAAGCAGTGCGATAAAAACAACAACACAGAGTTACATATGGGATAAACAAAAACGTACAGTCAATAACACAATAGAAAAATAGAAAATATATATACAGTGTGTGCAAATGTAGTAAGTTATAGAGGTAAGGCAATAAATAGTCCATAGTGGAAAATAATTACAATTTAGTATTAACACTGGAGTGATAGAGTTGCAGAAGATGATGTGCAAAAACAGATACTGGGGTGCAAATGAGCAAAGTAAATAACCATATGGGGATGAGGTAGTTGGGTGGGCTAATTACAGATGGGCTGTGTACAGGTGCAGTGATCAGTAAGCTGCTCTGCCAACTGATGCTTAAAGTTAGTGAGGGAGATAAGAGTCTCCAGCTTCAGAGATTTTTGCAGTTCGTTCCAGTCATTGGCAGCAGAGAACTGGAAGGAATGGCGGCCAAAGGAGGTGTTGGCTTTGGGGATGACCAGTGAGATATACCTGCTGGAGCGCATACTACGGGTGGGTGTTGCTATGGTGACCAATGAGTTAAGATAAGGCAGGGATTTGCCTAGCAGTGATTTATAGATGACCTGGAGCCAGTGGGTTTGGCGACAAATATGTAGTGAGGGCCAGCCAACGAGAGCGTACAGGTAATAATGGTGGGTAGTATATGGGGCTTTGGTGACAAAACGGATGGCACTGTGATAGACTACATCCAATTTGCTGAGTAGAGTGTTGGAGGCTATTTTGTAAATGAGTCTACTGTTCGTTGTCTGTCTGTGTGTGTGTGTGTGTGTGTGTGTGTGTGTGTGTGCCCACCAATACACTGTGTATGCACTACTGATAAGGTGTCTCACAGTCACTGTTTACCATCATCCCTGGTATGAGACCAGAGAGAGGGGGAGGTATGCAGAGGGAGGAGTGTGTTATTGTGTGTGCGTGTGTGTGTGCGTGCGTTGTTGTGAATGTTATGGCTTGCTCCCTGAAGGCCACCTACCCTCCCTACAAACACTGCCCATAGACATAGAGGCACATGACTCCTTAAGGCATCTGCATGCTTACCAAGCCGAAACAGTTTGGTATAGTTTGTGCATATATTATGACGACATTTTGTGACGTTTTTGTTCGTTTTGGACTTCGGTGAGGGTTTTTGCGCTGTTCGGGCACACACATTTTTTTCTGGAGGCAAGCCGAAGTTCGGAGCCGAAGTCTACGCCCCTTCGTCAGTGATTGGTCAACGTAGGGATTCTTCAATAAAGTCTTTGTTGTCATTCAACGAGACATGACTCGTTTTCATGCACATTTTTTCATTGAGAAATACTGCACCGAACATCTTAGTTAGATGTAAAATTGCGCTACTAAGATCTCTAAAAATGTATGACAAATTTATTGAGTTATCTTTTATTAATTCTGACTATTTTGAGGAAGTGTATACTGACTACGGCGTCTCAAAATGGACAAACAGTACTATTGACGCTTTCTTCTCGTTTTTCAAGCGAAGGTCTTTTAAGGGAGTACCCAAGCACACTTGTTCGGTTCGGCTAGCCGAGTTTGGCTTGGCACCAGCCGAACTGAATAATGCTGACACCTTTATTCACCCAGTCCCTGAAACACACTCATGCTGTATTCCCCCCTCCCGACGGCATAACCCAATATCACTGTTCATTCTCACCTCTCACTCACAATTCACACACAAGGACACACTCTTCACCCTTCATCAGCATATGGACACGCACGCATGCAAGCACACACGACTTGCACACTGTTTGTATTGAGAAGCTTTTAACGAAAAGGCTTTTTTAAATGTAGTACGGGAAGCTTAGTATAGCGAATGATGTCATAGTCACCATTGCAGAAACTTGAAGTCAGAACACACACCAGCCAGGTCACCCATGATACAAGTCAGTATTCGACGTCCATCCATGTCTTAGGACGTCAGGAGATGATGCGGAAACCGACCATTAGGGGCAACAGTGAGCGTTGTTACCTTCAAGTAGGTTTTGGTTTTGCTAGAGTGTTGTGGACGGGGATGGTGGATGGGCGTTGATTCCAAAGGTTGCAAGTTTGAATCCAGTGAAAAAAATAATTTTTTCCCCCAATTTCGCTGCAACTTCCCAACGGGCTCGGGAGAGGCGAAGGTCGAGTCAAACCTTAACCCTAACCTTAACCATTCAGAGTTAATGCCTAATCTTAAGAATTTGGCGTTAATACCTGAACTTAACCCTAACCTTAAAAATTCGGAATTAAAGCCTAAACGTAACCTTAAACACTTTGAAATTTGACGTTTGGAACAACTTCGAATTTTGACGTTTGAGAAACATGGATGAACGTCTAATTCTGACGTGAGACTGTGAGAGCTGGTAGACACACACACCCTTGGTCAAAATCCCCTTTACGGTCACTTGTACTAGGGCTGCCAAATTCCCTTTGATATCATATCCAGTGTCAGTGAACCAATAGATCTATTTAGAGCACATCTATTCTGAGTATCAGGTTGGAGTGAATGTGGGTGGACAGTGGGCAGCGTGGTAGAGTGCTTGAATATCCTCCACGTGTGGGAAGTTACACTCCAGCCCTACCTGAGCAGTGTGCTGCCTCGCTCAGGATCACAGACTGGGGCTGAGTTTGACCAGGCATCCTGCCAATGCTAACCCAGAGGTCTGGGAAGAGGCTGGGCAGACAACAAATCTCTGGTCTAGAGAATGACTTGGTCTTCCCAGTACCAGAGTACCAGATGGACCAGAGCCTTGAGTTTGGCCCCTTCCCAGACTGGAATGTCCTGGGCTAGGGTGACAGGGGCAGGAGGTCATGGGGGCAGGTTGTTGTTAGTTATTCATTGTGGTTTGGGTGTCAGACTGCTGTGTGTGTGTGCGTGTGTAGCAGGAGGAAGCGGTACTCGCTAGGCAAGCAGCGTGACGTCCGTTGCACGTATGCGTGTTCACGTGCATGTGTGTGTTTGTGTGTGTGTACGTATATGTGTGTTTGTGCGAATGTGTATTACTGTCCCAGATCTGATAGAACACTGTGAGGTATGGGTCACTTGAGACAGGGTCATAGTGAGAATCTCAGTTCAAACCCACATAAAGGGCCTCACCACCAGTCAGGCTGCTTAGCAGATATCTGACTCTGCCAATAAGTTCATGTGCTGTGTGATTTGGGGTGTGTGTCCTGCTATGACTTTGGTTTTGCGAAACCTAGCCCCATTTGAGTGTGTTTGTGTGTATATTTATGTATGTTTGTGTATGTGTCCCTGTGTGTGTGTGTGTGTGTACATGCCTGTGTGTATGTGTGATCAGTATGTCTCACTGTACCCCTCCTCTCTCCTATGTAGTTCTGCTGTATGTGCGTAAGGATACCGAGGAGGTGTTTGATGCTGTCATGCTGAAGAACCCCACACTGAAAGGCCTGGTGGAAGCAGTAAGTTTCTACGCAATACAACTAGAGCATAATAATATAATAATATCATAATATTATAGTAATAACACAGTAATATGGCCATTAAGCCCTAAGTGCTTTACAGTTAATCGTCATTGTATGTGGCCCATGCAGGAATCAAACCCACAACCCTAGTGCAAAAACATGCTCCAAACAACTGCAGGTTCAGAACCACAATCCTCCACTAAAGTTTATGAAACAGATCACTTTTACTCATAAAGTCAAACTTCACACCCACAGAACCACCATGATAGTGGCTTAGAAACAGGGTGAGCCTGTCCCTAGTGGGGTTTCATAGGGTCAGTCAGGGAGGGACACCCAGGGAGACAGCCAGACATATGGTGTATGTTATGGGAGGCTGGTCACATCGCATCACTCCAGTGACACTAGTGTGGGTGGCTCTGTTTGTGTCACGGCCCATTCTGCCACACAAACTCCTCTATCGTCTACCCTGAAATTACCCATGGCCACTATCTATCTCGCTCAGCTTGATTATCATAATTCAAGCCAGCATCTCAGAGAGAGCGAGAGAGACAGAGAGGAGACACAACTCAACCTAGATGATTATTTCCTAGAAATGGAGGGACGGATGGAGAAAGAGAAAGGGGGGTGCCCAAGGAGGACAGAGGCATTACCACGTGTAGGGTCTCCCTTCAGGTGGGGGGCCATGGTGGCTATGGTTCTGATTAGGGGGTCTGTCTGGCGTAGTGCACTAAGACAAAGGGTATAGTGGACATCCCTCAGCAGGGGACACCAGGCTGTGGGGAACTCAACATGGGTCCCCAACCGCCTCCACAACAGGCCAAATGAGTTGTGACAGGGCCTCTTAGTTTCCCGGGGAGGGGAGAGTGGGCAGCTGGGGGCAAAGGGTGGCAAAGATACCATCATATGTCTCTTCCCATTTCTCTTCTCTTTCCTGGTTGAATTTTGATTAATTTGTTAGGGTGATCTTTTTTTTATTCATAGAAGATGGAAAACAAAACATTAAGGCATTGTAAAAAAGATATATATAATGGAGTTATTGAGTTACATTATAAAGGAGTTATTGAGTTACATTATAAAGGAGTTATTGAGTTACATTATAAAGGAGTTATTGAGTTCCATTTTAAATAATAAAAAAAACACACAAAAAAACAACAAGTATACAACATAATGTTACTTCAAAACAAAGCAAGCACCAGACCTAGGTTCAAATACTATTTCAAACATCTCAACCACCCTCACATACATTGTCTCTTCTTTCAAACAAGAGACTACTGGATAACAAGTCTTTGTTGCTCCGCTTCTTCTAGATATCAGAGAAATACAACGTGCCGCTCGAGAAAGTGGGGAAAGTCTACAAGAAATGCAAGAAAGGGTAAGAGGTTCACATCAATGGTTAAGTTTATTTACCATGATTAAGATCATTCTACAACAAGTAAACGTTATATTTGTGGAGAATCAGGCTTTTTATGTATTACATTATGTATTACATAATAAGATAATAACCATGGAAATAGACTGACTAGATTCTATTTCTAGGATACTGACATCCCTATCTGTCCCTCTATTAGGATTCTAGTCAACATGGATGACAACATCATCAAGCACTACTCCAATGAAGACACCTTCCAGATCGCCATGGAGGAGCTAGGGGGTGTGTACAAACTCACCCTGACTGAAATCTGATTGGCCCAAAGGGAGGGGTGGGGAGTGATTGACACTGTCACCGCCCAGTCTACATAGAGTGTGGACATTGGGCAGCTTGTAAAGTTGTTGTAAATGTAAAGAAATGTGGTTTACACATACACATACACATGGCCTTAGCCCAGTCACCGAACATGAACAGAATGTCTCTGACACTATTCGCAATATCTACAGTCCACTAGCATGGTTCCAGATCTGTTGTTATCAGTCATGCCAATGATCATTGCAGTTGTCGAGACAGCATAAACTGATCTGGGACAAGGCTTAACTGTCCACCTGTCTGAGAGACAGTGTTCTTTGTTATCTGTAAGGTCACTAAGCCAAGTTACAAAGCCACTGCTCTTATATGATGATGGCATTGTGTCGATGGCTTGATGTAGACTTTTGATACATTTTGTGTAACTTTTATATATAAGAATCGAGTGTAACAAGAAGCCCTCTTCGTTTTGTAATAGCTATGTAATATATGTATGTAAAGGCCATTTGAGAATCTTTGTTACAGTACAGTATGTGTGGCGTATTTGTTGTGTGGCTATAATACCTGATGCTATGCAGACAAACCTTCTCTCAGTATCTTTGTGTTGTTCATGGAATACGTAAGAGAAACAGGCTAATAATGCATTGATTTTGACATTAGCATTAGCATCATAGTAGAGTGGTTGGAGATGCATGCTATCATTTAGCCTGGTCCCAGATCTGTTTGTGCTATCTTGCCAATTCCTATGGTGATTGTCTTGCCAAACATAGCAAGACAGTACAAACACAACTGGGACCAGGCTAGCTATCCTTATGCCTCAGACTGCATTGTGTCTGCCCCATTGGAACTCCATATAGCACTGAAGATAGATCTTAATCGATTAAAGAGGATATTTAGCATGCATTGCAAACACTAATTGTATTGCAAATAGAGGGGATGGTTGGCTCACTGTATTGATACTAAACATCCTGGCAGTATTTAGTATGTATGTATGTATGTATGTATGTACACTCAGTCTGGCAGTTAGTATGATATTATCTGTGTTTGTTGTTACCATATGTGTGTTGAGTATGAGCATGTACTGCATGTGGTTTTCACATGGATTTCTGAATAGAATCGAGAGCAGACATTTTCCCTTATAGCGCTTTAGCATATGGCCTCTTCATAAGTATTACATGTTTTTTATTAAGTAGAAGAAAAAAGTATCAACCCTTCACTCAGCTATGGCCTGAATAGGTTTCAGAACAGGTTGCAGACTCACAACAAAATAGATTTGAGAATGTCTATTAGTGCATAGGAAGTCAGATAGTTAAGGTCAAACCCATTCAGATTGACAGATTCTCCCTATGTCGTTGTATACACACATCAGGTACAGTAATAATGTGATAACATTACATTTGTGTCCATTTGAAAATGTTGAAAAAATGTGTCCTTGCGTACTGTAGAAGCTCCTTTTTGTACCAGAGTACTTAATGTGTATATATTTATTAAGAGAATGGGAAATGGGTTATTTTTTACCGTATATATCAAACAGAATGTTACTATTATTCCTAATATAATGTTTTATTATGTTTCTTGTTTTTGTATGAAATTGTTCTAACATAGTATTTACAGTATATGTCGAGGGTAGGTTGAAATATTTGTACATGTCTTTGTTTTTTAAATGTCTTTTCTCAGATGTTGGGAATATTGTCTCATGTATCATATAGTGTCCAACTGTCCAATAAAAAAAGCTCCAGGAGCTGTACTGGTGGTCTGTATGTTGGTGGCTCATGTCCCAAATGGCACCCTATTCCCTATATAGTGCACTACTGTTGACCAGAGGCTCTGGTCAAAAGTAGTGCACTATAGAGGGAATAGGGTGCCATTTGGGATGTAAGCCTCATGTTGGGCCTTGGCTTCATTAACATTCCCCTTCAGCCACAGAGCAAACTCAGCCGTGGCTGGAGCCCCAGTCTTCCACAGGTCCATATGTCTGGGCACCAACCCCAAAGCCCCACTGACAGGAAACAGGCGTGAAAACAGTAACACACAGCCTCGCTCGCCAGTCACCACATTGCTCCGAAAACACACCAATGTCCTCAAATGGCCTCGCTAACGTAGTCTCTCCATCTGAATGTCCCCACAAAAGATACAGCGGTTGTGGTAAGGCATTTATGGTACAGTACATCCACACTATTCAGACTGGAGTATATTTGGGTACTACAGTATCATTTTCAGACATGTTAGGCTAGAGAAACAGGCGAATGCAGCAGAGACATAGGCACACACAGTAAGGTACAGTAGGCCTACTGCTAATGTGACAGTTGAAATGAACCTAAACTGCTATGATGTGTATTAGAAGTAAGGATAGGGGCTTTCCTTTTTCTAGCTCAAAGTGATGTAGAATCCTCAGACTTCAGAAGAGTGGATACTTCCATGGCGCATATGGCATAGAGAAATAATCTTGATTCTATTTCTATGGCCTATGTTATTATCACAAACTGTGCCTGGGCCTACGCTCTAAAAATTAGGGGTTCATCAAAGGTTCTTCTAAGATCCTCAAAATTCTTCAAAGAACCTTCGAGTTCTTGGCACTGAAAATTGCCCCCCAAAAAATGTATTCCAAGAACCCCATAGGAGGTATTTGGTATTTTTGGGGTATTTTATTATGATCCCCATTAGCTGTTGCAAAAGCAGCAGCTACTCTTCCTGGGGTCCACACAAAACATGAAACATGACATAATACAGAACATTAATAGACAACAGCTCAATGACAGGACTACATAAATAAAATAAAATAAATACAAAAGGTACATGTAGCCTACATATCAATACATACACACAAACTATCTAGGTCAAATAGGGGAGAGACATTATGTTGTGAGGTGTTGCTTTATCTGTTTTTTGAAACCAGGTTTGCTGTTCACTTGAGCAATATGAGATGGAACGGAGTTCCATGCAATAATGGCTCTATATAATACTGTACGCTTTCTTGAATTTGTTCTGGATTTGGGGACTGTGAAAAGACCCCTGTGAGCTGTGTGTAAGTTGACTATGCAAACATTTTGCAATTTTCAACACATTGATGTTTCTTATAAAAAGAAGAAGTGATACAGTCAGTCTCTCCTCAACTCTTAACCAAGAGAGTGGCATGCATAATATTTATATCAGCCCTCTGATTACAATGAAGAGCAAGATGTGCCGCTCTGTTCTGGGCCAGCTGCAGCTTAACTAGGTAATTCGTTGCAGCACTCGACCACACGACTGGACAATAATGAAGATAAGACAAAACTAGGCCCTGCAGGACTTGCTTTTTGGAGTGTGGTGTCAAAAAAGCAGAGCATCTCTTTATTATGGACAGACCTCTCCCCATCTTTACAACCATTGTATCTATATGTTTTGACCATGACAGTTTACAATTTTTTAAAAACGTTTTAGTCATTTAGCAGACGCTCTTATCCAGAGCGGTTACTGGCACAACGCTCTTAACCACTAAGCTACCTGCTGCCCCAATCTAAGGTATCTCCAAGTAATTTAGTCTCATCAACTTGTTCAACAGCCACACCATTCATTACCAGATTCAGCTGAGGTCTAGAACTTAGGGAATGATTCGTACCAAATACAATACTTTTTATTTTATTTTATTTTTATATATTTCCCTTTATTACTTTCCAACCCCACCACCCCTTCCCTAATTGGAGTAAACTAGTGAATAACAATGCTTAGGCCTCGACTTCCAGCTTATACATACTATATACATTTTATGGACACAGTCAATTTTACAATAATTCGATTTTGTTTGTTTTTACTCCTGAACTTCCTCTACCCTCAACCTCTCCGATCATTTTCATGATGTCCATCCGGTTTGCTTCTATATGCCATATCTTTCTAACTGTGCTCTTTCACAAAAGTTCTCAACCTATAACCTATATACTTATTATGGACACAGCATGCTTACGTTATTAGTTATCTTGTTGTTATTAGTTGTTGTTAGTTGTTATTAGTCCCATCCTTCAACTCCATTCAACACCACCCATCTATCTCTTAACACCATCCATATTGGATTTCTATTTGCCATATATTTTTCAACTGTATTGTGATGTTTTACAAAAGTTCTGAACCTTTCTATTCTCATTATTTCTACAGATTGTAAATTGAAAATAAACATTTTTGCTAAAAGTAAAATTATATTATTGATCGATTGACTATGACTTTTCAGATCACCCAGTAATGCTATCTGCAGGGTTGGCTCCAGGAAATATTGCAATCCTTTAGCCATTCCTGGACCTGTGTCCAAAAACAAGCTACAAATGGACAGTACCAAAATATAATTATCTAATGATTCTGTCTCTTCGCAGCAAAATCTGCAGAGCTGGGAAGATTGTATCCCCCATAAAAATAACATTCTATTGGTAGCAAGAATTTTATATAATAATTTAAATTGAAAAATTCTAAGTTTTGAATCCGGCATCGTTTTGCATATCAGTTCATAAACACTATGCCATGGGATCGGTACGTAAAAAATCTCTTCCCAACTATTTTGCAAATACAATACTCTTAGTTTTAGAGATGTTCAGGACCAGTTTATTACTGGCCACCCATTCCAAAACAGACTACAACTCTTTGTTAAGGGTTTCAGTGACTTCATTAGCTGTGGTTGCTGATGCGTATATGGTTGAATCATCAGCATACATGAACACACATGCTTTGTTTAATGCCAGTGGTAGGTATTTGGTAAAAATAGAAAAGAGTAGAGGGCCTAGAAAGCTGCCCTGCGGTACACCACACTTTACATGTTTGACATTAGAGAAGCTTCCATTAAAGAAAACCCTTTGAGTTATATTAGATAGATAGCTCTGAATCCACGATATGGCAGAGGTTGAAAAGCCATAACACATACGCTTTTTCAACAACAGGTTATGGTCAATAATATCAAAGGCTGCACTGAAATCTAACAGTACAGCTCCCACAATCTTCTTATTATCAATTTCTTTCAACCAATCATCAGTCATTTGTGTCAGTGCAGTACATGTTGAGTGCCGTTCTCTATAAGCATGCTGAAAGTCTGTTGTTAATTTGATTACAGAGAAATAGCATTGTATTTGGTGAAATACAATTTTTTCCAACAGTCTGCTTAGAGCTGGCTGCAAGCTTATAGGTCTGCTGTTAGAACCAGTAAAGGCCGCTTTACCACTCTTGGGTAGCGGAATTACTTTGGCTTCCCTCCAGGCCTGAGGACAAAGTCTTTCCTCTAGGCTCAGATTAAAGATATGACAGATAGGAGTGGCTATAGAGTCAGCTACCATCCTCAGTAGCTTTAAGTTGTCAATGCCAGGTTTGTCATTATTGATCGATAACAACAACTAACTTTGCAAAATTCAAACTTGCAATGCTTTTCTTTCATTATTTGTTTTTTATGCATGAATACGATGGCTCACTGTTCATTGTTGCCAAGTTTGCCCACTTTGCCAATGAAGTAATCATTAAAATAATTGGCAACATCAAATGGTATTGTGATGAATAAGTCATCTGATTCGATGAAAGATGGAGTTGAATTTGTCTTTCTGCCCAATATTCCATTTAAAATACACCAAAGTTTTTTTTCCATCATTCTTTATATCATTGATCTTGGCTTCATAATACAGTTTCTTCTTCTTTTTGTTGAGTTTAGTCACATCATTTCTCAATTTGCAGTAAGTCAGCCAGTCAGATGTGCAGCCAGACTTATTAGCCACTCCTTTTGC